ATTAATATACGATATCTGTTTTATAACAATTATTTATTTTAATTATAAACACAAGATAAAGTAATGTGGAACCTACAGTATTGAATTATTTACCTTAAAATATTTATTTTGTGATACCTGTTAATAAATTTGTAAGGAACAAAAAATGCCTTAGTCTACTAAAAAGAGTTTAATCTCAAAGGTGGTATGAAGTAAAACACATAATCAGCAAAATTCTTAGTAACTTGTAGAAATGTACTTTATTTCATGCAAAGCTACATAATTTCCTATATTTTAACAGCTAATCAAATAAACATTTCAAAAAATTCATTACATCGCAATAAATTAAAATACTACAAAGCAATTCCAAGTCCATGAGTTTGTCAAAACCAAACTAAGAGAACATTATGCATAGATAAGGCCAAAGATGCTAACTTACTTATAGGTAGCACTTTGCAGGTTTGTTCAAATACATATTTAGTGAGAATCTGCAGAGAAAAATAGTTACATCTAGAACCCATTAGTCAGAAAGGAAAACATCTGCCATTACATACCAGGTAGTAGTAGCTGATTAAAGATAAATTGGCATCATGCACCAAAAATGAACATAATGAACATTTTGAAAATTATGATCAGATGCACATTTGAAAGACTTATCTTCTATTTCACCTAATCCACTGAATTAGATAAATAACAAGTACTTTATTAATGCAACACAGAAATTAGGCATTTGGTATAATTTGCTTGGGTACTGGTATATATAAAAAGATACTGAAGAGATGTAGGAGTATTTCAAACTCATAGTGGACTACTGAACTTTAGAGTATTGCTATAAGGAAATAGGTTCTGGGCAGAACTTATTTGAGAAAGATTTTTAAACTACTTAAAAGCAATACTACAATTAGTTACTTATAAAAACATTTTATAAAAATTAAATACCAGAAGGTAACAACATCAATATTAGAGCTCTTTTTTCAATGCTATAATTTATAAACATATATATTAGATTACAGTAATTTAAAAGACAGGTCCACATATTCTCTACCTTCTAAATGAGAAAAATCCTTCAAGTTGTGTTCAAAATATGGACAAAAACAAATCCATTGGATTGCTTTAAAAAAAAAAACATAGTCTCTCCCCTACAATTTGGTGTACTAAGTAGGGAAGATGCTAGCCAGCATTCTTTTGAGAAATACAGCTCTAAGTGATTAGGTTGATAAGATTTATGTCAATAATATCAACTCAAAATGGTGTTGTACAGTCAGATGAACAAATTATGACTTTATTCTCCATATGTCTGCCACAGTAAACCATTCTTTCTACACTTTTGCACTAAGTACAGTAAAAATCTCCTTTTGCAAAATGATGTGAGATCAGGATAATCACAAAAGAAAAGATTTTCACAGGAAAAAAGGTTCATTCTCACCAGGAAGTGTGTTAAAAACAAAAGTCTTTTAGGATATCTATGAGAAGACGAACATGCCAATATTCTTGCTCTATTAACAAATTTAAAATTGTGATCAACCTCAATGGACAAATCTTTTGAAAGTGAAAATAAAATGTTAGGAAAACCAGGCTGAACATAAAAGGAATTAGGGGTGAGGGTATGTTCCCACTGCAATGGAACTGGGGATGGGGCAGGGCTAGTGGCTGCTCTGATGGTGGAGACGGCTCACAGGACCTGGTCTCCAGGAGTTAGTACAGGGGATAACACTGCTTAGTCTTCCAGGTCACTGAGCAGGAAAAAAGTCACTGAGTTGGAAAGAAGTACCCCACACAAAGGGAATTCACAATTCAGAAGGCTTCCTGTAACCCTCTCATATTGTTCCAACCTCTCTTTAATGAAAACTTTGACAATGATATATATTACTTATGAACTCCTTTTCATAAAAAGAGGCCTCAAGGTTCTTAATGTTTTGGGTTTGTTTGCTTGTTTTGTTTTTAACAATTACTGGTTTTGGAAGTCTAATTTTATGTTAAAACATTTACACTGAGAATAATTCATTTTACTGAAGTGTCCTACTTAGTGGCGAAAAAGACAACACATTGAGCTAGCATCCATCACATTTACATTCAGATGTTGCCTAGTTGTCTAGCAAAATCTGTTTCACTACTTTAAGTGCAATACTGCTATTCAAGTAGTGGGATCTGTAGTAAGAACCTTCTGAGTGCACTGATCATCAAAAACAACTGTACCCAAAGAACAAACGGAAAAAAAATCTGTCAGCACATTAGAAGTCATACTATACAGAGAGGCTTCAGATAGGAAGGAAGGTATAAAAGGAATGAAGGGAAGAAGGAAGAAAAGAAAGGAAAGATAAAACTCTAAATTCATTTACTTCTCAACATTTAGAATTTAATACAATACAATCCATTGTATTTTGGAGATTCAAGTATGTTAAGATTTTTCAGGGACATGTTTTGCCTCTTAGTGCAAATATATTTTATCCCTGTGATTTTTCAGGCATTGCCCACACAAATCACAAGTATAAAACTCACATTACTGAACAGTGTGAATTATAATTATGGAGAGTTTATTTTTCCTTTAAAATAGTAATCAACACAAAAATCAAGAACATTCTCTAAATCTACTAAAGGTATAAAAAAATGAGGTTTGCTATTGTACATCAATGAATCCCTTCATTGATAGTCTAAAATATACTTAAAATACACTCACACTGACTTTCCTATCCACATTTAATTTCATTTGGGCACACAACCAGCATAAATTTAAGAACTGATAATCTAATCAAATAGTAGTGTCCAAAACCAAATCAATTGGCAGCACTTTTTTTAAGGAAGTTTCGATTGTCAAACTCTCTGATCTATTCTTTATAAATGAAAAACCCTTGAATGTTCTGATTTAGCCCTTACCACTCTTGTGAAATGAGGGCCTCTTGTGTGATGAAATTATTCCAAAGCTCCTGCATTCATTTGGTAAGAGAACAAATTCTAATAATTAGGTTTATTTTAATAATGATTTTTACAAAAGTGCTCTATTGATAATAAGAAATTATTGATGTAGTAACAAAAGTTAATCAGCAACTTATAGATTCATGAAATTAATAGATTATTAATTGTTATTTTCTGCAATGGTTATTTTGAACTACTGGCTTAGAATATCCTTACCTAACATTATTTAGAAAAATAATTTAGAAAATTTAACCAGATATCTATTATTATGTAAGAAACACCTCAAAAGGTAATTGCCAGAAGTAATTCTTTAAGAAATGTACTTTGCATGTAGGGTTATGAATTTAGTAGTAACGTTTTGCAGTAGATATCATTATATTTTAATAAGCTTCTCAAAACAGAAAACTTTTGTTCTTATTACAGTTTTTTACAAGGTGGCTTAATGAACATTAACTCACTCCCCCAGCAATGAACTCTTAGTCCTCAGGGGTTAAATCATTACCTTCTAAACACAAATTTACCTAGCTAGGTAACTTTCCTATATGATCATATATGAAATCCTGTAAGATAAATTCTGCTTAAAAAGTTGAATACTCTGGATCACTTAAACAACCAAAAATTATTTTGGAAATAACTCAAAAGTTATTAAAATCATAAAAAATTTAACAATAAAATAAAGTAGTACATTCCTTTACTTACTTCTATCAATATATCTTAGGGTATTATAAGTTATAAAAGTAACTGGATTTCTTCTCTTTTTCTGCTTCTATTTCTACAATAGCATCTGAGTTTCATGATAAAACCTGATGAGAAACAACATTATACTTAAGGAAAATATTCCAAAGTAAACCCAAAGACTGAATAATAAAACAATATTATTTTCAAAGGATTTTGATTAATCATTCCCAAAAGAGCTTTTGCTCTGGGAACTTGTAAGCTTCTCTGTAATAATAAGAAACTGGACCCCTTCCTGGGGTGATCCTTTTCCCATCCACTATTTTCAAATAACAAAACCAGCACAGCTAACAACTTATTCTGTCTTTTTAAATGCCACCATATAAACATCAACTCAATACCCTCACAATAGCTTTGTGAGGTAGATCAGTAGGTAAATAGCAAGAGTCCTCTTCATTTTGAAAATGAAGAAAGTGAGGCACTGAATGGTTACATGATTTGCCCAAGGTTTCAATGGTCAATCATGAAATTTCAAACAGTGTTAAATTATCTCTGCTCCTGGCCTACTGCTCTCTAACCATGATTCACAATAAAAGGCTGTGTGTGTGTGTGTTCTTAAATAAGCAGTCTATATAATCTTCGATTGAGAGTAAAATCTATCCACTGATAATTATTTTAAAAGGGATCTAATCTCAAAGTTCATAAAAATTTAAGAAAATCAGATAATTAGGATGATACACTATTCCTCTCAGTATCTGCATAAAACTGTGGCTTTTAAAAAATTTAAATGATAACATTACGAAAAGAGGAAAATAAAACATTCAAATATGATTCAGGGAAAAACTACCCTCAAGAAACATATAATCAAATTTGACTATATAATTCATCTTCAAACTGGGCCACTACTAAAAGTTACGCGGGATAATAGGTGTCAAACTAAGACAGCCATGGGCAAGCTCAAGTACAGTTACCACTGGGTGAATCCAAGGTATGGATTCTCAGAGTTGCAAATATTTCAGGGACATAACTCTCCGCAAACATGTTGTGCTCAACTATAGTCACTGTGAAATAAAACACTGATGATTTAAAATATAATACCTAACTTTGGCTTAAACACAAAGTTTAAAAAATTCAATTTTAAATAATAACATGTTTAACCAACAAGTTACTACACATCTCCATTCTAAACTAGTTTTGTTTTCTATAAACCATAATTTAACTGTTAGTAATAACAGTAAATGGATTGACTTTTTACCTTTGAATAACCAGATATTGTTTTTAAAAGGAATAAACAGGCACCTTTAAAAAGCAGAGAATTTTGTGGGACTCTTTGGTTATTAAAACCCCCCACTATTTACCATTAATAATTATGATTCTCCTTGAATGGAATAATCAACTCAAATCAATATGCTAAATGACAAAGGTGAACACCTCTCTCTGAAATGAAAATGTTTTACAAAACAATACCAAAAGCATAAGACAATTTCCAGTTACCACCAAAGACTGAAAGAATACATCACCTGATTATAGTACACATGCTGAAGATACACAAACACTATCAGTTGAAGGATAATCTTAATTATACATGCAAAAACCTAACTAATTTGCACACAGCATTGAAAAAGAGCTTTCTACATTCAGTTATGTCTGGTAAGTAAGCCGTGTTTTAAGACATGGGTTTTGTAAATATGGTTGTTATTGAGGTGTCTATCTCTTTGAGAAATAAAGGATCAACATATTCTTTAGAAACAGAAAACATGTAAATCACAATAATAAAACTGTATAATATTACTCAGTTATAACTATGGCTTCCTTGGACCTCTGAAACAACTTTCCTGAAAAAAATTTATCTGAAACAAACTGAACTACATGCTTTCAACATATACTGATCTTAATCATGAATTAAATCCTTCCACTGTAACTGTACTTCTAAGGCAGACACTTCAGGAATGATACGTAACAAACCTTATTAGAAAAGATGATACTCTATTCAATGAACAATAAACTATTATTACTAAGATCCCATTAATTTTTAATGCCTTTTGTATCCTGACACTTTTCACTAAGAATTCAGTGTAAATTCTAGGGCATACAGATGTTCATAAAGACTGAACTTATGTGTTGATCTTGGTTAGTTATTCCATATATTCTTACAGATTTTAAACATCATCAAATATTCTGCTGCGAGACATTGAGAGGTATCGTCCACCAGGCTGATACCTGAAAGGTGGATAAAGAAATGATCCGAGTAATCAAAAATAAAGAAGAGAAAAACAAGGACACATTAAAAGGAAGTGGTTACATAATTTGTAAGAACTGTAAAATCTATTCAGTAGCTGAAATCAGGAACTTATCCAAGAATGTTATCCCAAAGGGATTTACCTAATTATAAATCAACTAATGACGGTTTTAGAGCCTATGACATATGACACATATGGCGGGGTGAGAGATGTAAAAAGAAAGGAATGGGGAGATGTAAAATACATCATGGAACTTAACAGATTTAATAACTAGATTGTTGAATATAAATAGAATATTCTTTTTGCTATTTATAGACAATACTATAGCAAATATCTTCATGCATATGATGATTTGTTTTTGTTTAATTATTTCTACATAGTATAGTAGCTAAAAGCACAGACTCCATAGCCAGAGTCCCGGGGTTTAAATGCCTGACTTTGTCATATACAAGCCGTGTGATCCTGGGTAAGTTACTGAGCCTCTCTGGATGCAAATTCAATTGGACTTACAACCATAAAATACAATTACTGTTGTTAAAGTGCTTAGAACAGTGTGCCACCCAGTTACACCTATGTAAACTATTGCAAAATATGATACATTTCATAAATGGGATTGTCAGAAACAGGCATATAAATATTGTTAAGATTCGACCAAATGATTTCAATTCTTTTTTGTTATTTATCATACTACTAGTAGTAGTTTGCGAAGATACTAATTTCAACCACCACCACTAGATGCTATAATTTTTTAAATACAAAAGCATTAGAAGGTGTTAAAAGGTCAAAGGTTGCTTAATATGCTTTATATTAGTAGTAAGGATGACTACTTTCCTTATGTCTATCTCGTCAAGTCAGAATGTTATTAAAATTTCAGAGGAATGCGGGAGCCAAAATGATAAGCTAGAACTTACCTTCCTGATTCAGATTCAAGAGGATCATCAGTGAATGTTTCTGCATTAAAATCCAAAGGTTCTGCATCTTGGAGGAGTTCTATTCGGTCCCTTTCAGTCCTATTATTAGCCCTGGTATATTTGGATGCTGCTGCAAAAGAAGAAAAAAATGTCCACTTTCTATTGTCTTTATGGGTCACAGTCTATGGACTCACGGAAAGAAAAGTCAAGTTTATAAAGGATGTGAATTTTGATTGTAAAGACAATATTAAGAAAAGATAACTACGTAGTTATCTTAAAATTAGATTAAAATGATTAATAGTATGATAGAAAATAACAAGGAGAAGTTCTCCCTTGTATGTAGTCTAAGCTCAGAAGCAGCTATAGAGCAAAGACTCAGTATGAATCAGAATTAGTATTTAACTATGGTATCATAACAGTGAAATTGTTCATAATCAAATTAAGTTTCAGCTGGTTGCACAATGAATACAGGGGATGCTACATCTCACTTCTTGGCTAGGATTTTATGTTGTAATCAACTCAAACTCTTCAAAAAAGGCCTGAGTCTTTTTCCCATGAAGCAAGAGTTTAGGGCAGTAATGTCCAACAGAAATAAATTCCAAGCCCCGTATTTACTTTTTACTAGTAGATACATTAAAAAAGTAAAAAGAAATAGGTGAAATTAATCTTAATGTATTTAATTTAACTCAGTATATACAAAATATTATCATTTCGATATGGGGCACCAGCTACACAGCAAATGCTCAACAGCCATATGTAGCTAATGGTTACCATCCTGGTCAGCACAGATCTAGAGAACTAATCCCTTCTCTACGTAAATGGGGTTTACTTTATAAACAACCTAAATTTTCACAATGTTATTCTGAGCAGCTCAACAGCTTCAAAAAAACTATAATATAGGTCTTTTTGAAAATTTAAGGCAAGCCAATTCTCTCATATTTTTGTCATCTTGGACTCTGCCCTTTACCGTTTCTCTCATTCATTCAGCAAATACTGGTTGCCTACCACAGGCCAGTTTCTAACTCATCATCCTAAGACTTTGTGTTTCCTCTTCTCTTAACCACTCTCCATACTCCCAGATCTCTGCACTCTGTTAACTCCAAATCCATGATAAACTTCCAAATCTCTTTGTAGAATCCTCCCTCTATTTTCTAGCTTTAACTGAAACTTTAGTTTTCTCCTGTTTCTTCTACGCTAAATCTCATCCAAACACATCCTTTCTTCTTTATCTCCAGGGTCATCTCAAGGGTGCTTATTTCATGCCCTCATCATTTTTTTACTGCATTACTAAAACAGACACTAAACTGGTTTCTGTCTCACTTCCCTGGAAATCATGCTTTATACAGATGTCAAATTCATCTTCCTAAACCAAAAATCTGAGCATGCTTCTTTCCATATTGAAATCTTATCTTTGGGATAAAATCTAAACTTCTAAGCATGATAATACCTGTTTCCCAACTATCTCTGCAGCCTCGCCTCTCATCAGGCTTCTCATACTTCAGGCTCTAGTCATAGAGAAAAGCCTACATTTCCCCAAAGGTTCTCTCATGTCACTCATTCTTCCTTCTGCCTAAAACCCCTTCACCTGGCTAAGTACTACTTATTCCTAAATAGCACTTCTTTATAACAGAAACCTGTTCCCAATAAAGAATTCTTTTTCCATCCCCTGAGCTGAGTTCCCTCAGCATCAGGCATGCACCCTTACACTCTCTCAGCATCCCTGCATCTCCCCCAAAGACAAACAACCTCTGCCTTCTACTCAGTTCTGGATCCTGGGAATTCACATTCCCAGAAGCAGATGGCAGGGTCAAGGATGTGGGGAGGTTTCCTAACCCAACCCACTGACCAATGTCTTCTGCCTGATATCAGTCCCTCACTAAATTATAGGCAAACCAAGGATGGAAGTTATCTTCTTTGTATTTCTGTATTCCTGGGAAAGTACCTGATATATATGGGTCAATCAGTAACTTATTATAAAAATGACTGAACAGCCTGAAAAACATCTAGGTAAACAAAAATCAGTACCTGCCTACAATGTGCCTGGGATAAGTACTATTATTTAGGTAGTGTAATTACAACTATTCACTTGATGTCCCAGATGTCTCCTTCTCCTACCAGAATGCATATTTGAGTTTCTCCTTCCTCTCATACACTGAGGGATGAAAAAAGTAAAGTCACTGCAGAACCACATTTATAGTTCTATAAAGGCATTTCTGGATGGGTAACTAATCCTCAGTCTCTATGCAAGCAAGCATAAGAAAAAAATTTCTTGGAAAACTAGACAATAAACTACTTACATCGGTTGGTACTAATATCTGAGAAGTTTGATTCTTTTGGGTCAATATGAACATTTCTGTTTCTAGTGGAATCTTCTCTACTGTGTCCATAACGTTCTTTCCATTCCTAGGAAAGAAAAACAAATGATTATATAACACAAGAACACACATTCAGAAAATAATTCATCAGTGATAACAGATTTAGATTACATATGTAGAGTAATATAATCTAATTCTTTTTCACCAGGAATTCATCAGATAATCAGTATAATTAGCACAGTGCCTTTAGAAATCATAGATAGGGAGAGAGGGGAAAGATGGTGGAAGAGTAAGACGCAGAGATCACCTTCCTCCACACAGATACATCAGAAATACATCTACATGTAGAACAACTCCTACAGAACACCTACTGAACGCTGGCAGAAGACCTCAGACCTCCCAAAAGGCAAGAAACTCCCCACGTACTTGGGTAGGGCAAAAGAAAAAAGAATAAACAGACACCAAAGAATAGGGATGGGACCTGCACCAGTGGGAGGGAGCTGTGAAGGAGGAAAGGTTTCCACACACTAGGAAGCCCCTTCACGGGCGGAGACTGCAGGTGGCGGAGTGGGGTAGCTTCAGAGCCGCGGAGGACACAGCACAGCAACAGGGGTGCAGAGGGGAAAGCGGAGAGATTCTCGCACAGAGGATTGCTGCCAACCAGCACTCACCAGCCCCAGAGGCCTGTCTGCTCATCCGCCGGGGTGGGCGGGGCTGGGAGCTGAGGTTCGGGCTTTGGTCGGATCCCAGGGAGAGGACTGGGGTTGGCGGTGTGAACACAGCCTGAAGGGGTTAGTGCACCATGGCTAGCCGGGAGGGAGCCCGGGGAAAAGTCTGGACCTGCCTGAAGAGGCAAGAGACTTTTTCTTCCCTCTTTGTTTCCTGGTGCGCTGAGGAGAGGGGATTAACAGCTCTGCTTAAAATAGCTCCAGAGACGGGCGTGAGCCGTGGCTAAAACCACGGACCCCAGAGACGGGCATGAGACGCTAAGGCTGCTACTGCCGCTACTAAGAAGACTGTGTGCGAGCACAGGTCACTCTCCACACCTCCCTTCTGGGAAGCCTGTGCAGCCCGCCGCCGCCAGGGTCCCAGGATCCAGGAACAACTTCCCCGGGAGAACGCACGGCGCGCCTCAGGCTGGTACAACGTCACGCTGGCCTCTGCCGCCGCAGGCTCGCCCCGCAGTCCGTACCCCTCCCGACCCGCAGCCTGAGTAAGCCAGAGCCCCCGAATCAGCGGCTCCTTTAACCTCGTCCTGTCTGAGCGAAGAACAGATGCCCTCCGGCGACCTACACGCAGAGGCGGGGCCAAATCCAAAGCTGAACCCCGAGAGCTGTGCGAACAAAGAAGAAAAAGGGAAATCTCTCCCAGCAGCCTCAGGAGCAGCGGATTAAATCTCCACAATCAACTTGATATACCCTGCACCTGTGGAATACCTGAATAGACAACGAATCATCCCAAATTGAGGAGGTGGACTTTGAGAGCAAGATTTATGATTTTTTCCCCTTTTCCACTTTTTGTGAATGTGTATGCTTCTGTGTGAGACTTTGTCTGTATAGCTTTGCTTTCACCATTTGTCCTACGGTTCTATCCGTCCGTTTTTTTTGTTTTGTTTTGATTTACTTAAAAAAAATTTTTTTTCTTAATAATTTTTTATTTTAATAACTTTATTTTACCTTACTTTCTTTTCTTTTCTTTTATCCCCTTCCTTCCTTCTTTCCTTTCTCTCTCTCTCTCTCTCTTTCTTTCTACTTTTTCTCCCTTTTATTCTGAGCCGTGTGGATGAAAGGCTCTTGGTGCTGCAGCCAGGACTCAGTGCTGTGCCTCTGAGGCGGGAGAGCCAACTTCAGGACACTGGTCCACAAGAGACCTCCCAGCTCCATGTAATATCAAACAGCAAAAATCTCTCAGAGATCTCCATCTCAACACCAACACCCAGCTTCACTCAACGACCAGCAAGCTACAGTGCTGGACACCCTATGCCAAACAACTAGCAAGACAGAAACACAACCCCACCCATTAGCAGAGAGGCTGCCTAAAATCATAATAAGTCCACAGACACCCCAAAACACACCACCAGAGGTGGACCTGCCCACCAGAAAGACAAGATCCAGCCTCATCCACCAGAACACATGCACTAGTCCCCTCCACCAGGAAGCCTACACAACCCACTGAACCAACCTTAGCCACTGAGGACAGACACCAAAAACAACGGGAACTACGAACCTGCAGCCTGCAAAAAGGAGACCCGAAGACAGAAAAACACACAGCAGATGAAGGAGCAAGATAAAAACCCACCAGACCTAACAAATGAAGAGGAAATAGGCAGTCTACCTGAAAAAGAGTTCAGAATAATGATAGTAAAGATGATCCAAAATCTTGGAAATAGAATGGACAAAATGCAAGAAGCAGTTAACAAGGACCTAGAAGAAATAAAGATGAAACAGACAATGATGAACAACACAATAAATGAAATGAAAAATACTCTAGATGGGATCAATAGCAGAATAAATGAGGCAGAAGAACGGATAAGTGACCTGGAAGATAAAATAGTGGAAATAACTACTGCAGAGCAGAATAAAGAAAAAAGAATGAAAAGAACTGAGGACAGTCTCAGAGACCTCTGGGACAACATTAAGTGAACAAACATTCAAATCATAGGGGTTCCAGAAGAGGAAGAGAAAAAGAAAGGGACTGAGAAAATATTGGAAGAGATTATAGTTGTAAAATTCCCTAATATGGGAAAGGAAATAGTTAACATTTCACACAGAGAGTCCCATACAGGGTAAATCCAAGGAGAAACACGCCAAGACACATATTAATCAAATTGTCAAAAGTTAAATACAAAGAAAACATATTAAAAGCAGCAAGGGAAAAACAACAAATAACACAAGGGAATCCTCATAAGGTTAACAGCTGATTTTTCAGCAGAAACTACAAGCCAGAAGGGACTGGCAGGACATATTTAAAGTGATGAAGGAGAAAAACCTACAACCAAGATTACTCTACCCAGCAAGGATCTCATTCAGATTTGATGGAGAAATTAAAACCTTTATAGACAAGCAAAAGCTGAGAGAGTTCAGCACCACCAAACCAATTTACAACAAAGGCTAAAGAACCTTCTCTAGGCAAGAAACACAAGAGAAGAAAAAGACCTACAATAATAAACCCAAAACAATTAAGAAAATGGGAATAGGAACATACGTATCAATAATTACCTTAAATGTAAATGGATTAAACGCTCCCACCAAAAGACACAGACTGGCTGAATGGAAACAAAAACAAGACCCATATATATGCTGTCTACAAGAGACCAACTTCAGACCTAGAGACACATACAGACTGAAAGTGAGGGGATGGAAAAAGATATTCCATGCAAATGGAAACCAAAAGAAAGCTGGAGTAGCAATTCTCATATCAGACAAAATAGACTTTAAAATAAAGACTATTAGAAGAGACAAACAAAGACACTACATAATGATCAAGGGATCGATCCAAGAAGAAGATATAACAATTGTAAATATTTATGCACCTAACATAGGAGCACCTCAATACATAAGGCAAATACTAACAGCCATAATAGGGGAAATCAACAGTAACACATTCATAGTAGGGGACTTTAACACCCCACTTTCACCAATGGACAGATCATCCAAAATGAAAATAAATAAGGAAACACAAGCTTTAAATGATACATTAAACAAGGACTTAATTGATATTTATAGGACATTCCATCCAAACACAACAGAATACACATTTTTCTCAAGTGCTCATGGAACATCCTGTAGGATAGACCATATCTTGGGTCACAAATCAAGCCTTGGTAAATTTAAGAAAATTGAAATTGTATCAAGTATCTTTTCCGACCACAACGCTATGAGACTAGATATCAATTACAGGAAAAGACTTGTAAAAAATACAAACACATGGAGGCTAAACAATACACTACTTAATAAAAAAGTGATCACTGAAGAAATCAAAGAGGAAATCAAAAAATACCTAGAAAGAAATGACAAAGGAGACACGACGACACAAAACCTATGGGATGCAGCAAAAGCAGTTCTAAGAGGGAAGTTTATAGCAATACAAGCCCACCTTAAGAAGCAGGAAACATCTCGAATAAACAACCTAACCTTGCACCTCAAGCAATTAGAGAAAGAAGAACAAAAAAACCCCAGAGTTAGCAGAAGGAAAGAAATCATAAAAATCAGATCAGAAATAAATGAACGAAAAATGAAGGAAACAATAACAAAGATCAATAAAACTAAAAGCTGGTTCTTTGAGAAGATAAACAAAATTGATAAACCATTAGCCAGACTCATCAAGAAAAAAAGGGCGAAGACTCAAATCAATAGAATTAGAAATGCAAAAGGAGAAGTAACAACTGACACTGCAGAAATACAAAAGATCATGAGAGATTACGACAAGCAACTCTATGCCAATAAAATGGACAACCTGGAAGAAATGGACAAATTCTTGGAAATGCAAAATCTGCCAAGACTGAATCAGGAAGAAATAGAAAATATGAACCAACCAATCAGAAGCACTGAAATTGAAACTGTGATTTAAAATCTTCCAACAAACAAAAGCCCAGGACCAGATGGCTTCACAGGCGAATTCTATCAAACGTTTAGAGAAGAACTAACACCTATGCTTCTTAAACTCTTCCAAAATATAGCAGAGGGAGGAACACTCCCAAATTCATTCTATGAGGCCACCATCACTCTGATACCAAAACCAGACAAGGATGTCACAAAGAAAGAAAACTACAGGCCAATATCACTGATGAAGACAGATGCAAAAATCCTCAACAAAATACTAGGAAACAGAATCCAACAGCACAGTGAAAGGATCATACACCATGATCAAGTGGGGTTTATTCCAGGAATGCAAGGATTCTTCAATATACGCAAATCAATCAATGTGATGATACACCATATTAACAAACTGAAGGAGAACAACCATATGGTCATCACAATAGATGCAGAGAAAGCTTTCGACAAAATTCAACACTCATTTATGATAAAAACCCTGCAGAAAGTAGGCATAGAGGGAACTTTCCTCAACATAATAAAGGCCATATGTGACAAACCCACAGCAAACATCGTCCTCAATGGTGAAAAACTGAAAGCATTTCCACTAAGATCAGGAACAAGACAAGGTTGCCCACTCTCACCACTCTTATTCAACATAGTTTTGGAAGTTTGAGCCACAGCAATCAGAGAAGAAAAGGAAATAAAAGGAATCCAAATCGGAAAAGAAGAAGTAAAGCTGTCACTGTTTGCAGATGACATGATACTATACATAGAGAATCCTAAAGATGCTACCAGAAAACCACTAGAGCTAATCAATGAATTTGGTAAAGTAGCAGGATACAAAATTAATGCCCAGAAATCTCTGGCATTCCTATACACTAATGATGAAAAATCTGAAAGTGAAATCAAGAAAACACTCCCATTTACCATTGCAAAAAGAACAAAATATCTAGGAATAAACCCACCTAAGGAGACAAAAGACCTGTATACAGAAAATTATAAGACACTGATGAAAGAAATTAAGGATGATACAAATAGATGGAGAGATATACCATGTTCTTGGATTGGAAGAATCAACATTGTGAAGATGACTCTACTACCCAAAGCAATCTACAGATTCAATGCAATCCCTATCAAACTAACACTGGCATTTTTCACAGAACTAGAACAAAAAATTTCACAATCTGTATAGAAACACAAAAGACCCCGAACAGCCAAAGCAATCTTGAGAACAAAAAACAGAGCTGGAGGAATCAGGCTGACTTCAGACTACAAAGCTACAGTAATCAAGACGGTATGGTACTGGCACAAAAACAGAAATATAGATCAATGGAACAGGATAGAAAGCTCAGAGATAAACTCACGCACATATGGTCACCTTATCTTTGATAAAGGAGGCAGGAACGTACAGTGGAGAAAGGACAGCTTCTTCAATAAGTGGTGCTGGGAAAACTGGACAGGTACATGTAAAAGTAGATTATATCACTCCCTAACACCATACACAAAAATAAGCTCAAAATGGATTAAAGACATAAATGTTAGGCCAGAAACTATCAAACTCTTAGAGGAAAACATAGGCAGAACACTCTATGACATAAATCACAGCAAGATCCTTTTTGACCCATCTCCTAGAGAAATGGAAATAAAAACAAAAATAAACAAATGGGACCTAATGAAACTTCAAAGCTTTTGCACAGCAAAGGAAACCATAAACAAGACCAAAAGACAGCCCTCAGAATGGGAGAAAATATTTGCAAATGAATCAACTGACAAAGGATTAATCTCTAAAATTTACAGGCAGCTCATGCAGCTCAATAACAAAAAAATAAACAACCCAATCCAAAAATGGGCAGAAGACCTAAATAGACATTTCTCCAAAGAAGATATACAGACTGCCAACAAACACATGAAAGAATGCTCAACATCATTAATCATTAGAGAAATGCAAATCAAAACTACAATGAGATATCATCTCACACCAGTCAGAATGGCCATCATCAAAAAATCTAGAAACAATAAATGCTGGAGAGGGTGTGGAGAAAAGGGAACATTCTTGCACTGCTGGTGGGAATGTGAACTGGTACAGCCACTGTGGAGAACAGTATGGAGGTTCCTTAAAAAACTACAAATAGAACTACCATACGACCCAGCAATCCCACTACTGGGCATATACCCTGAGAAAACCATAATTCAAAAAGTCATGTACCAAAATGTTCATTGCAGCTCTATTTACAATAGCCAGGAGATGGAAGCAACTTAAGTGTCCATCATTGGATGAATGGATAAAGAAGATGTGGCATATATATATACAATGGAATAGTACTCAGCCATAAAAAGAAACGAAATTGAGTTATTTGTAGTGAGGTGGATGGACCTAGAGTCTGTCATACAGAGTGAAGTAAGTCAGAAAGAGAAAGACAAATACCGTATGCTAACATATATATATGGAATCTAAGAAAAAAAATTGTCATGAAGGACCTAGGGGTAAGACGGGAATAAAGACACAGACCTACTAGAGAATGGACTTGAGGATATGGGGAGGGGGAAGGGTAAGCTGTGACAAAGTGAGAGAGTGGCATGGACGTATATACACTACCAAATGTAAAACAGATAGCTAGTGAGAAGCAGCCGCATAGCACAGGGAGATCAGCTCGGTGTCTTGTGACCACCTAGAGGAGTGGGATAGGGAGGGGGGGAGGGAGGGAGACACAAGAGGGAAGAGATATGGGAACATATGTATATGTATAACTGATTCACTTTGTTATAAAGCAGAAACTAACATACCATTGTAAAGCAATTATACTCCAATAAAGATAAAAAAAAACAAGGAAAGCATAGGTAACTACTTTTCTTATCTCTAAATGCTTTTAATAGTTGCCAAACTTAACTTGAATGAAGATATTTATAGACATTTTTGCTAGCTATGATTCTTTTAAGTTATTGAATTCTATCTAAAATGTCAAAATAATTTTACAACTATAATAAGGTTACTTTGACCATGTAAGAGTTATGATAACTCATAGTAATTAATGAGATGTTAATAAAATTTTCTCTCACCCAAATAAACTACAAATCATAGAGACCTGAAAAGTCATTTCTGATAGCAAAATTACAGTTGTATACAAACATAATTATGTAATGACTCATGTGGCACTGTGTCTTAACTGCACTAAAACCTTATTAACTGGGATTCTACTCATTAAATTCGTAGAATTGAAAGGAACTTTAGAGGTCCTAATTAAGCCTCCCATGCAGTGCAGGGTTTCATTTTAAAATAACCATGCCAGATACCATTTGGCCCTCTTAGTAGAAGACATGGAAATTTCTATGTGTGATGATCCCACTGCAATTTTGGTAAACTTTGGAAGTTTTCACAAAGAGGTGAACTCTATTTCCAGTCACTCCTGCTCTTTTGTTCTAGTTATGCCTTCTGAAATAAAGACCAAGTCTCCCTTTACATAACATACACTAAAATACATGAAGACAACTATCATGTCGCCTGAGTCTTCACTTCTCTGGTAATGGACACACTCAGATGTTGAAAATTTGTGGTAACTGTGACTGGCTTTTTCTCATTTTTTGCCTTTTCAATTCTCTAGGAGATTAGTTTGCCTCAGGAAACGAAGGACTAAGGAAAAATTAAAGAAGAATAAAATTAATGTCATATTACAAAAAAAGCATAATTTTCAAGCAATCAAAATCACTTTAATAGCAAGATTGCATGAATTTATTCACTTATCCAATATTTACTGAGCACCTACTCTAGGCAAGAAACTGCTAGATGTTGGACATGAAGTAATTTATTACTAATGACTTTTTAGAACAGGTCTGACAGGACACCTACATGTACATCTGAAACTATTAAAACTGCTTTTCTGTAAAAGTATATCCTATGTCTTTTTCCCACTGTTTTTAGCCAATTATTCTAAATCAATAAGATTCTTATGATATTTTACATTAATTTTTAGGTTACAGAAATTTAGTAAGTACGGTACTTACTCTTCGTCGACTTTCACCTTCTTCTTGCCGTTGCCTTTTTCTCTTCTCTAGAGACAGAAAAGTGGTCTCAAATTTGGTATAACATGGTTTAATTAGATGTAGAGTAACTGAAGTAAAGGTATCAGGCTATGACCAATTTCCTTTAAATTACTACAAAGTCAAAGGTAATAGGTTATTGTTGGAAAGAACCGGAGAGGTCACCTAACTCCACAGAGAATACTTTCTCTACTTTTGTTGGAGATGGCCCTTTAGGCTCTGCCTAAATAGCTTTAGTGGGGAAGAACTTCCTCCCCATGGTGACTTGAAATTTGTTTCTCGGCAACTTCTCTTTTTCTTTATGTCTTGTCTTCTAAATTAAGTTCATACTTCTTTCTGCATAGGAGTCTTTTCCATTACTCCCTTCTGGCTATATACTCAGTGGTTCTTTTCCATAAGATATGCCCTACAGACTCATTCTGGCTGTCCTAGATTCCTTCTGACTTATCAGTCTTACTCTTGAAAATCTTACCCAGGACTGGATATGATACTCCAGATGAAGTCTAATTAATGCAAAAAGCAGCAGAACTATTCCATTAACTAGATACCACCTTCATATGAGAGCATGTGAAGGCTACGCTGGCTTATTTTAGAGCCACAATACATTTTTTTTGGCTTACCTTTAAATAAGATCACACAAAAACCCCAGACCCAAGTAGGGAGAATGTCTAAGAACCAATGTCCCAAAACTCAAGTTTTGTTTTTCTTTTTCCCCCTATTCTACCATCACTTGAACATCAGGAAATTTGATACACTCAGTTTTGAGATTAGATTCTAACAGAGTGCCATGTATTCTAACAGGTTGTTAATGATTACCACATTCTAAAAACCAGCCTTGGCTTGAATGATTTCCTATGCAGCATTAAACTAATGATGATTCTTTACCTTTTTTTCAATGATGATTCTTTAAATTAATGAGTTTTCCAACTGTATTTAACTTGGCAAATCTATTTCAAAGCAAACAGGAAAATGACTCCAACACCAAACAAGGGTGTTATTTAGTTGCAGACATATTAACTATTAAATCCTCTGCAGGATTTCTTAAAGACAGATGAAACAATCATTTATGTTTTTGAATTATTTTTGCTATGAAAGCTTTCTGTAGAATTTTAGCTAAAACATATTAATTTGTAATTTCTTAAGATAGATTAAAAATTTCAAATCATACAAACATTAATTTTGTATTCTCAGTCTTAGCACTTTCCCTTCATTCATTTTAAAAGAGAAATCTTACCTCGTCTGATTAATTCTTTTCCTTCATCAACTAAGTCTGATGTCATATCATTATCTCCCATGAACTGCTGGAAACCAAGTAGATTCAAACAACGAGTTCCCAAGCTAATAAAAGTCGATTTTCAAAAAGATAGGCATTATTTTACACCGTAAATGTTTAGATAATTGTTCTTTAGTATCTGCACCCCACAGAAGCCTATAGTTTATTACTAGTTATCATGTCAAGTTACCTAGAGCTACATTTGTCTTTCTTTCAGAAGTACTTATTTCCCTTTCTAAGAAGCTTATATGCCCAGTACTCCACTGACTAGGGTATGCACCAAAGCCATATTTCTTACAGACACAAATTAAGTTAGGCCATTAGCATACCTTCAGAAGATTATTATAGCAGGATGCTAAACAATGGCTATAATACAAAAGCAATTTATTCTTTTCTTATATTCAAATAGCAATTTTAATACTGAAAATACACATACACAACCCGTATTTACCAGTGCAGAATATTCTGGCTTATGCAAATTGATTTTCATGCTTTATTTTTTTTATCCTGAGAACTACTCAATTCTATTTAAATAGGTGTTACTATAAACTCAGAATTCATTACTATAGCTTATCTGGGGGTTATCATTTTATATCTTATTTACTGTTTACTTTAAACCTCACTGTTGTACAGGACAGAAGTACTCTGAAAATATGGCACGCAAGGAAGGAAGGAATAATATTTGTTAAACTCCTATTATGCATCAGACAATTTACAGATACTCTTATTTAATTCTTATTATAATTCTAAGAGATAAATAACACTTTACAGATAAGGAAACAGAGGTAACAAGGGGTTCAAAACCTTGCTAAAGATCAATTAATAAATTTTAGACCTGAGGATTTAAATCCAAGACAAAACAAAGACCAAGCTCTTTTTATTACCTTAGTTCTCAAACTTTTTCATGGATTTACTTTTTTTTTTTTCCTTTGAGGTAGAGAAGAATAGCTTTATTGCTTTGCCAGGCAAAGGGGGGCACAGCAGGCTAATGCCCTCAACACCATACATGGAGCAAGGGGGAGAGAGGAAGAAGGAGAAAGGGAGAAGTATGTGTGTGTGTATGTCAGGAGGAAGAGAAAACAGCGGAGCAATTTAAAAAAAGTGAAGATCTCCTATTTTACATTAGTGATGTGTAAAAATCTGGCTAATTCATAAATTATCTGCCTGTTTTAATATATAAGGAATGCTCTGTATGACTTAACGGTAAGTAAAACTGGGGTTTCAGGTAGATGGTCATGCTAATTCCGTGACCTTAAATATTCCCTTACCATCTTCATATTCTTGTGGGAATACTATACTCCAGGATGAGATCATTGCCTCTGGGAAGGTCTTAGCTTTGTCTAAAGTGTCGGGAAACAGCTTTATATTCTCTAGGCAGTTAAGTCTGAATATTAGCTCTGGGTATGGCTGTGTGCTAGTAATATGGGAATTAGACTAATTATGGCAGCATTTCAAAAGAAACTTGACCTATGAAGTCAAGTTACCATTGAAATGTCAGCAAGGCATTGCTTCACATACTCCTACAATAGAGTATTTTTATAATTTGAAAATTGAGGAATATGACCATTTTTTCTCTTAAAGACAAACGGGCACTCAAAATTTATGTTAATTAACTCTAAAACAACACTTTTAGGGAATTATTTTTAAGTTCAACAATTTTCCTTTTAGACATAGTTCCTTACATTTGTTTAAGATTTTATAGTTGACAAGGCACTATCCCACCCATCTATTCCTCGATCAGTATAACAATAAGATAAGAAGAGATGCTAATCTTACCAACATAACTACTAACATGAGAAGATATGATTTATACATCACAAGCTCTTAATGTTCCACTTGTAGTTTATAAACTGTTAAAATGAATAAGCATATAATAAAAATTTAATATTGGATATCCAAAGGATGATTGGTCTCTTCCTTTGATACATCATTTTCACAGTATAAACCTCTGTCTTTTCTACCTTATGGAAAAAAAATGAAAATATTAGATTTTTTTATCAGTTCAAATTAACCGTTTTATTTTAAATTATAATCCTTTAGTTCCTTTACTTATGAGAAGGTAAAATATATATGTTTTACAAAATTCAACAGAGAATTTATTTCAAACAAAACTTGTCTGTTTACTCAATATCCTAGTGTTAGAATATCAGTACAATAATGTACATTATTTACAATAACTATATAATGGTACTGAAAGATTTAAATGAAAAGTGGTTGGATGAAAATTATTATCAATAAAATTTTTTTTTTAAGTGGCGTTTTTGGTGTGTCATGGAGCGCTTAAGCAGTGAAGAGGGTAGGCAGAGTACAGGATGTGGGCACCTAACACGTGGAAGTAGGGAAGACATGGGGCTAGAAGCCAAGCACACCTGTCTTTTAACTCCTTTTGAGTCTGATCTCTGCCAAGGTTCTACTACTTTTTCTGATCCTATAAAAAGAGCAGCCCATGTACTTTCCTGCCTTACATGTACTGTCTGATTTCAACTGTTCCTCACCTGACCCTTTGCTCTGGCTATGATCTGAAATATCTAGAAACCCAAAAATGATTGTGGGGAAAGCCCTAAGACTAATATATGTTTCTGGATACAAGCTGGGTATGGGGGTGCTTTATAAGCTACACTGGCTGCCAGTATCACAGGCCAGGACTCAGAGTTAACATTCTGTAATTAATCCTATTACTCTGTAGACTAAATATGTGTAACAGAATAACTCTCTCTCTCTTCTTGAAAATGTCTTTGGAGGGAGAACCTGACCCAGTCACTCAAGCGACCCCTTTAAACTATGCCCAGCACCCACAAAGTCACAATAAACCAAACAACCAGAACCCAATCAGTGAATATTTAAAAGAGCTTTAAGGAGAAAAGTTATCCAGATCAGGCTAAGCATATGTGGAAAATAAGCAATGTTAAGTTTCTTACCTAAAATAAGTAGCAATGCAGAGAATTACCACCAACATAGGATAATATATATAGAACCCATCTGCAATAAAGGATAAAACTTTCATGGAACCCATAATCTGAGGAGCAAGAAAAAATTAAATCAGTACAGTTCTGTATCTTTCATTCTTTTTCATCATTAGAAAATTCACCCGTAACCATTTATATCAATTAATTTGGAGTTTTCAAAAAAGTAGAAATGAAGCACTAAATAGACTGATTTTTAAGTTCTCATCACAAGAGGAAAGAAATTGTAACTGTTAGATGATGAATGTTAACTAAACTTATTGTGATAATTATTTCACAATATATACATATACCAATTATGTTGTACACCATAAACTAATACAATGTTATATGTCTATTATATCTTAATTTGCTTATTTATTAAGATTTTTCTCCCCCAAATATTAATATTTTATAAATACTACTGAAACTCATCAAACACATTAAGACCATAAACATAAAGGTTAATATTATTATAGGTCAGGTCTATTGATATTGCTCAGCTGGACAACCTATATGAACCAAAAATTAATTTTTTATAATAAGATATAGCAATATCACTTTTATTCAGTCATTAGTAATTACATATACAATCTGTAAAAGAAAGTTTTAGTAATTTTTAAAAAGATCCTAATAATGCAACAGAACTTTTCCGCCAGCAGTAAAAAGAAATTTCACAATAATAGCACCCTATATAGATAATGAATCTAAAGAACTCTTTTTTGACAATACTTACAGATGTATAAGCAGTTGGCTGTGTATTCTGGTGAGAGATGGATGAATCCATATGGGTCAAACCCAAGAAATTAAGACATAAAGGAGGAGTCAAACGGCAAAATAACCTGCAGTAAGCATTAATAAACACAATATATAAAAAATAAAGCAGCAAGATATATTATATAGTATGTTGAAATACATTAAGAACATTTCAGATCATTGTAACTATTATTCTCATCCATTTGTATTTTTAATTCTTAATACAAACTGCCCTTACTTTTGAGACATTCTGAAAATCCTATTAGTCACATCTTCCTTAAAAACATCAACACCTACAAGGCAAAACCCCAGCCTCAGGTTATCTCCTTCGGTGGTGTTTGCCACTGCTTTATCCCAAGAATTTGTAGAGTGCCTCTGTATGTGCCTCTTCCACGCCTACCATCTGTGTAATCTAAATCTGTCTCAATAGCATGACGAGGACAGTAACACCCTCAAGGTGAACTGTACTCAGTATGTAAAAGATCTGAAGTTTTATCAAAGTATGTCAACTCTGACAACTACAGGTATAAATAATTGTTGGAGCTCAGTTTTGACCAGATAAAAAGAGAACCTTACAGAACTACAGAGTTGGAGAGTAGAAGAAGACAAAAATGAAGAGAGGGTGTGAACACAAAGAGGTCATATGAGTTCTTTTGTGGTGATAGAATAGTTCTGTACCTTGATTGTGGTGGTGGTTACGGGAATCTACATACATACACACACACACACACACACACACACACACACACATGAATAAAGGACAAAAAATACTGAAAATTAATAAGGTCTGTGGTCTAGTTAACAGTAGTGTGTGTTTGAACAACAGCAATATAAAATGTCTCCACTGGGGGAAGCTGGGGGAAGGTTACTAGGACTCTTTGTATTATATTTGCAACTCCCTTTGAGTCTATAATTATTTGGGAAAAAAAGGTAAAAAAAAGTCTTAGAGATGCCTCAGATATTGATTCCTCTTGAAGTTCCCAAAGTCCAGCCCTAAAAACCTAATATAACTAAGTTAACAATACGGACAAATAGTAGATTGTACAACCTAGCCCAAGCTGGAACCATCTCTCTAAACTTCTACTAAATCTGTCAGCAAGAACTATTCTTTTGGTGTTCTTGGTCCTCCACAATTCAGTTTGAGGCCACTGAACCTCAGAACACTTTCTAGGTCTGACTTAGTCTGTAAACTCTCAAATGTTCTTCTTATTACTAACCTATTTATTGACCCTCTAATTGGTAAATCCAGGCTCACTATGTTTTTCTTTTCCTTCCTAATCTAGCATACCCATTTTAACCCTAAACTTCAAGGAGGATTTAGCTAGCAATCAACAAGCACCTAATTAATACTTAAACCTAATCAATTAGCTCATAGAAATACAGGTGTTAGTGTAGACCCATAAACAAAAAGAAATAAAAGAGAGATCCATAAGAATACATGTAGTGGAGACATTTCCCTTGTTTCTACACACAATCTACTTACATGCCACTGAAAAGAAGGCTGTAAGCATCAGTCTGGTGATGTGAAGCCAGGTAATAATAGTTAAATACACGAATCCTGAACACAGTAGAATAAACACAGATACTGAGGAAGAAGATGGAGAGGAAGCAAGCAATCTAAGAAAACAAAGAACCCAGTTTCAGACTAACAGACTTCAATACTTATATACTATCACAAGCATTATCTTTGAATTCCAGCTAACATTTATTGACATTCTAAAATTTATACACAGTAACAGTAAAAATTTTTAACTGCCTAATTTCATTTTTTCATAAAATGAAATTATGAAAAAAAATCTACATCTTAATCAGTCCCACATCCTATCCATAAGTTTCAAAGCTACCTCCTGAAGTGAGCCTGTTCTCCCATTCCCTTGGCAACTCTTCATGTGAAGACTATAAGTTATGTAGCTTCACTGGCATAAAGAGGATCAAAGCATTCTCAAAGAAGTACTTTGCACTATTTTGCCTGTTTTCATCTCTCCTCAAATACAGTTCTTAGTTTTTATATTCTGGGTAAAATGATGAAGCTCATTTTTGGAAGTGTGAATAATAACACTGTGGGAAACTTCACTGCTTTCATTATTACTAGAAGAAATATATGGAGAAAAGATACAACAATTAAGGATTATACTATGGCTGACATTTTTTTACGACCCATATAAAATAAACTGACCTCGATATAAATATAATTGTATGTTTTTTCGGCCAGCTGTATGAAGACTGCAAAGAGGGATAAGACAGGTGTAGTGCTAAAGAATGTGCACTCTGACCACACAACAATCACGGAGAAGATGGACAACACCACAGCAAGTACCCTATAAAACCACGGTCGCAAAAGACATTCCCAGTACCACTCTGGAAGATAAAAGAAAAAACTGATTAGGAAAATCATAAAGGAGTAAGCGTATTTATAGTGTTTCAAAATACCTCCAATACAAGATACGTAATTGCAAAGAGAAAAACAGTGGTCGAACCAGGCAGACACCATCCTAAGCAAATGATCAGCAGTAATGGGACAAACTGATATTATGTGCCTCATGCTCTGATAAGAACACATCATTGCTGAGGTATTCCTGCCAAAAATGCAGAACCTGCATCTGATTATGAGGAAATATCAAACTCAAATTCAGGGACATTCAATAAAAAACTGACCTGCACGCTCCAAAACATTAATGTCATAAAATAATAACAGAGACACAGAAATCGTTCCAGATTAAAGGAGACTAAGGAGACATGACAACTGAATGCAATGCACGATCTGGGATTATTTTACAAAGAATATTATTGAGACAATTAGCAAAATCTGAACAAGGTCTGTAGATAACTGTACTGTATCAATGCTAATTTCTTTATTTTGATCACATTGTACTTGGTTATGTACAAAAACGTCTTTATTCTTAGAAAATACACACTGAAACATTGAGAGGTAAAGAGGTTATCATGTCTGGATCTAACTCTGAAAAGATAAAGGAAAAATATGTATACAGAGAGAAAAAGATAAAGCAAATGAATAAGGTAAAATGTTTTAACATTTAAAGAATCTGGGTGAAGGGCATATGGGAATTCTTTGTATTATTCTGGCAACTTTTTGTTAAGTCTGACTTTAGGCAAAAAAAAAAAAAAAAAAAAAAGTAAAAAAAAAAAGTAAAATGTTTTAACATTTAAAGAATCTGGGTGAAGGGCATATGGGAATTCTTTGTATTATTCTGGCAACTTTTTGTTAAGTCTGACTTTAGGAAAAAAAAAAAAAAAAAAAAAAGTTAAAGAAAAAAAGAAGAAAACTCACAAAATTGAAAAGGTTATACTTCATTCATTGAAGAGTTGAGCTCCTGGCTCACTCTACATCTTTTCAACCCTACTCACAGGATAGCGCCTGGTGATTTCAATATCCACACAGGTGATCCTCCCTTCAATACCCTGGTCTTTCACTTCCTTGACCTACTCTCACCCAGTGAGTCTGTCCTCCAACTTACCTCAACTACTCATCCTTTAAGTCTTTTGTGACCAATAACTCCAACCCTTACAATCTCATTAAAGAATAGGATCCCTGTCCCCTGGCAACACCTTCATCTACTATTCCAGCTCCACTGACTGACTTTCCCCTGACCGATGGTCCATATATTCTACTACCTTTTTCTTGCCACTTAACCTGATGTCCTTATTACTTTCTTTACCCAGCTCAGATTCCATAGTCTTTGTGGATAATCACTCTCCAATATCCCAATTCCCCTGGCCTCTCTTGCTTCCCTGTACTTGCTAAGCTAAACCACGCTCTGGTTAGATTCAACTCCTTGGCTACCCTGAGCCTGCACCCATGGAACTGCACATTGCAAGAGTAAGACACACAACTCTTCTGACTCATCTCACTTTAAATTCTTAATCAATAGCTTCAAGTGGACCCTGAGCACTGCTTGGCTAGAGTACTATAATTCACCAATCTTCTCCCATGCCTACTCTCCCTAAGCAACTATTTTGTGCCTTCTTTCCTCAAATTTCCAAAATCTCTTGCCCTATAATTACTCTCAGCATTTCACTGAGAAAACAGAAGCTGGAAGAACAGAACTTCCCCAAGTGCCCGCCTCGACATCTTTTCACACCTGCTCAAGTATATTTGTGCTTTACCTCTTAAACTAAGGCCTTTCTCCTCACTATTCACTATTTCCCTTTTCATCTCGCCTGTAAATGTACATTGTCCCAGCCATTCTCTTCTGTCTCAACATATTTCCTCGAAGGTGTCATTTGCAAATTACATGCAATAATTTCTCTTGACCCTACCACTCTCCTTCAGCTACTCCCTCTTTATTCCCTTTTATAAAGAAAACATTTTGGGAGTTTTCTATTGTGTCTCTAACTGCTTTCCCTCGTTTTTCTTTCAAATTTCGATCACGCTTTTTTACCCTTCCCCCCACTTCATTTCCCTGAAATCCCATCGTCAACTCTTAATACTCATAATAATCTACCTATCTGAAACATTTGAAAAGGTACTTTATACAACCTTTTTCTCAAAACATTTCACTCTCCTGGTTTTCCTCCTATCTCACTGGCCATTCTTTTTCTAGTCTTTTCTGTTGGTTCCTCCGCATCAACTTGATGTCTAAATTGGCAGTACCTCAGGCTTGGTCCTCAGATTTTCTCTCTTCTCTATCCCATCACCTCTTCATTGACTTTATCCTAATCCATGGCCCACCTACACATTAATGACACCCTAATTTATATTTGCAGAGCAGATTTCTTCCTTGAACTCCAATATCTACAGCCAACTACCTATTCAGCATCCTGTTCATATCTTTATGTATATATTGCCTGTTTTTCTCACTCTGCAAGGGCAGGAATTTTTGTCTTTTTTGTTCACTGATATATACCAAGCACCCAACAATTCATAGCATATATAGGCTCAAATATTTGTTGAATGAATGAAAACAAGTATCACATCATTTCTTTATTTCATTAAAAAAAAAGATCTTCATTGAGACATTTGTTATGGCCATTACGTTTTCATACTCAAGACCAAACATGTAAAATAAAATCAAGTGAACTTAACAGTTTATTTGAATAAATAAGGTAAACAGAAGTTCTAATACTGTGACACTTTGATATTTTCATTAAGTTCTTCATACTAAATTTGATAACATTTGAAGAAAGTGTCATAAATAATCATAAAGGAGAATAAAATAATTATATGACTATTGAATGTAGGTTTTGTATATAGACATAAATGTTAAGTAATCAAAGGGGACATCTTAGGGGAACATTTTAGTAGTATGTCAAGACTAAAGAAGAGATCCATGCTTGTGATATAAAACTGCTTAAAATTCTAATTGTTTTAAGTATATATTATGTATACAAGATATGCTTGATGTATTGCATATATTTTTGCATAGAATTTTGGTTATCTGTGAAGAAAGAGTGGAAGCCAGTAGTTTATATGTTATATGACAAGTAAAATAGTTTTTTGGGGGAGGTTTATCAAATACATAGTATTACCATATGGCATAAGTCAAATAACACAATTATAATTTAACTTTGCATTGGTGAAAATATACACTTTTCATCAGAAAAATTATCAGCATTAAACTTTGAAATGTACATCAAATTACATACCAACTGTAGGATTATAAAAATATTGAATAAATCTATTTTCTGGCTCCGGCGATTGAAAGGTATGAACAAACTGACAAGTAGCACTAGTTTCATTTTTTGCTACATCTTCTAGATAAAATGCTTGTTCCAAAAGAATCTGCCATTGTACTTGAGTTCGACGGTGTCTCTGAACTGAATAAATCACCTAACAAAGAGAGCAGGGGTATAACTGTCAGTGTTCTGATCCAACAGTGACTGAACTCCCCACTAAGGAGCATGTTTTCGTTGTCACAACAATAGGAAAGGGGTCGTGGCATTTACTGGGTGGAGTCAAGGATGTTAATATTCTATAACACATATAACACTTATGCTTAGTGAATAGTTCTCCCTCCCCAAATGCCAACAGAAACCATGTCGAGAAAAACAAAGTTAAAACACTTCAAAGAATAATAATAAGGACAGGATCAAAGGAAGTTTCTGATACACATTCACTCAAACTTCCTTTTTTGTGGGCAGTAATTACAAATCTAACTAAAATCATCAGAAGGTAAAAAGGCTATATAAAGTTACCTGTTTATGTAGTTTTACCAGACTCTTTTCACTTGGATAGGTATTATGCTTTTCATCAAAATCTTCATAATCATCCATGTTCCTACCCATTTTTTCCTGATACTCTATAGGGCACTAAAAGGAACGAGTAGATTTTTAGAAATTTTATTTGCAAAAAAGATAAAAATTTTATTTTTATTAAAAATCTTTCATTCTTGAGCATATCTAATTTTCTTGCAAACATCTTCCAGATTTGAAGTCGTCTATGCCACTATTAGTCATTTATTACCTCTATGAACTTGGGCAAGTTGGTTAACCTCCCTGAATAGATCTCAAAATGTAGCAAATATAAGAGAAATAATTAGAGAATTGATTCTCATGACTATCATCTTAACCAAAAGGAGCACTAGCTAATAATTAGTATAACAGATTTAAAATATAGGAAAAGAACTGGACAGCCATATGCAAAAAAAGGAAACTAGACCATTATTGCATACCATACATAAAAATCAACTCAAAATGGATTAAAGACTTGACTGTAAGACATGAAACCATAAAAATCCCAGAAGAAAATATAGGCAGGATGCTCTCTGACACTGGTCTTAGCAATATCTTTCTAGATATGTCTCCTCAGGCAAGGGAAGCAAAAGCAAAAATAGACAAATGTGATTATATCAAACTAAAAAGCTTCTGCACAGCAAAGGAAACCATCAATAAAATGAAAAGACAACCTACCAAATGAGAGAATATATTTACAAATGATATATCCAATAGGAGGTTAACATCCAAAATATATAAAGAACTCATACAACTCAACAATGAACAAACAACTTGATTGAAAAATGGGCAGAGGAACCGAACAGATATTTTCCAAAGAAGACATACAGGTGGCCAACAAGTGCATGAAAAGATGTTCAACATCACTAATTATTCAAGAAATGCAAATCAAAACCACAATGAGATTATCACCTCATACCTGTCAGAATGGCTATTATCAAAACAAGAAATAACAAGTGTTGGTGAAGATGTGGAGAACACAGAACCCTCATACACTGTTGGTGGGAGTGTAAATTTGTGCAGCCGCTATGGAAAACAGTATGGAGAGTCCTCAAAAAATTAAGACTACAGGGCTTCCCTGGTGGCGCAGTGGTTGAGAGTCCGCCTGCCAATGCAGGGGACATGGGTTTGTGCCCTGGTCCGGGAAGATCCCACATGCCGTGGAGTGGCTGGGTCCGTGAGCCATGGCTGCTGAGCCTGCACATCCGGAGCCTGTGCTCCACAATGGGAGAGGCCACAACAGTGAGAGGCCCGCGTACCGCAAAAAAAAACAAAAAAAGTTAAGACTACAACTACTGTATGATCTAGCTATCCCGCCTCTGGGAATTTATCCAAAGAATATGAAAATACTAATCCTAAAGGATATCTGCACCCCCATGTTCACTGCAGCATTATTTACAATAGCCAATATAAAGACACAATCTAAGTGCCCATCAGTGAATGAATGGATAAAGAAGATGTGATACACACACACACACACACACACACACACACACATATACATACATACATATAGGGGAATACTACTCAGCCATTAAGAAAAAGATAAAATCTTGCCATCTGTAACAACATGGATGGACCTTGAGGGTATTATGCTAAGTGAAATAAGTCAGATAAAGACAAATACCATAGGATTCAACTCATATGGAGAATATAAAAAGCTGATAAACAAAAAGAAAATAAATGAGTAAACCAAACCAAATAAAAACAAACATGTAGATACAGAGAACAGAGTAGTAGTGGGGGTTAGGGTGAAATGGGTAAAGGGGATCCACTGTGTGGTGACTGATGGAAAACAAATTTTTGGTGATAAGGATGGTACAGGGTATCTAGAAGTAGAAATATAGTGTTGCACACACAAAACTCATATAATGTTATAAATCAATGTTACCTCGATAAAAAAATAAAGGCTTACATGCAAGTCTTTAAAAATAAAGTAAACTAAATACAAGAAAAGGAATAGTTCAGTGGCTCTGTGGTTGCAGAGAAGACAATTGGGGAACTCATTTCTGGAATAATCATTTTCGGAAGTATATGAATACCTCTAATTCAATACTAATGCATCAAAACCTTGATTGTATGGTTTCTTATTAAATATCTGTATTAAATATCTCATAATGTCATTTATTTTATGAAATATATTGTAAAATACCATGTACAAAGCTGATTAAATGTGATTATTGAGGACCTAATTTATTTTCTTATAGGAAATATGCTTTTAGTGACCACATTTCATGATACTTTTTTTTTTTTTCCCGGAACGCGGGCCTCTCACCGTTGTGGCCTCTCCCGTTGTGGAGCACAGGCTCCGGATGCACAGGCTCTGAGGCCATGGCTCACGGGCCCAGCCGCTCTGTGGCATGTGGGATCTTCCCGGACCGGGGCATGAACCCGTGTCCCCTGCATCGGCAGGCGGACTCTCAACCACTGCACCACCAGGGAAGCCCTTAATGACACTTTTACAACCTATAAAGGTCCATCTCCATGACTGTGTCACGGCAATCATTTTACATTATTTAACATAACCTCTATAGCCACATTTCAATGGAAAATACTGCCAATAAATAATGTTAAACCTATAGTAACAAAAGAACAAATTCTATGTAGAAATTACTATGGGTTTATGGTTAATATTGTCATGAAAATGGAAAGGAGTTGGAAGACTTCAATCATAGGCTGTTGGCATACTTTTCTGATGCTTTTATTATAATATAGTATGTAAATTTACATTTCAAAAGAAAATAGATGAGAATATTATTTAATTACCTTTTTAAGTATTGTGTCAACACATTTTCTCAGTGGGTGGTTATACTTGATGCTCTCATTCACTTTACGAACTTCCTATGAAAACAGTAAGAGAAATAAAAATATTTCTGTAGATTAGATGTTTCAAATCAGGATGCTCTAGGTACTATATATATTCTCACAAGTTTGGTTCCAACCCAAATTACTCAGCATATAATAAAATTCTGTTCTCTGAATAAAAACTCTTAAGAACACAAATAAAAACACAAAATTATAGAACAGCTATACCTATACCCTCACACTTTTTATAACTTTCTAGATTTACTGCCTTACCATTTGCTTACTTGGTACACAGAGATGAATAAACATTATAAAAAGTCATGAAGGATCAGGCAAACTGAGATTCTAAAAGAACAGGACTGCGTTTCTCTATCTTGCTCCTCAAGCTCAATTATCTCATTACCTAAAATACAGCAGAGAAACCAGAGGAAGCAGAACAGGCTAAAAATGTCACAAAGCACCTGCTCCCTTCCAATGAGAGAGTACTTTACAGCAGTCACAACTAATGATTCATTCCACATTTTTAAAATTAAGAGTTCGCTATGTGCCAGCACTGTGCTAGGTGTAAGGTCACCACGATCCATACTGGAGGGTGGAGTGGGAAGACATGGCGTTATAAGTCTTTCACTAAGATTGCAGTGTGGTGATGATGAGATAATTAAATCAACAATTTAATGCATATGAAAGAAATAAAGGGGTTAGAGAAGGGAATCTTTAGAATCAGCAGTTCTAAAATAATCACGATATTCTATAATATAAATGAAATTTTTGAGAAGTTGGAACCACTGTTCTAGGAAGAAGAAACAGCATGTTCAAAGGCTGGGAGGCAAGAGTGAACCAACCAGGATATTAAAAATAACATTCTGATTATAGGGTAGAGGATGGCCTTAAGAGATGTAAAACTGGGGGGCAGGGAAACCATAGGGCATATAGAAAAAGTTGTGAAAAAATATAACGTATATGGAAAAAAAATCACTATCCTTAATATACGGAGAGCTCTTAAAAATCAAAAGAAAAATGGGAAGATACAGAAGAAATGCAATTGGCCAATAAATATCTGAAAAGATGTTCAATCCCACTAAAAAAACTACAACTTTTTAAAATGAGGACAGTTTTCTTGTAATATTATAAGAAACTGCTCTTATATAATGAGGTAAGATTGCGAGGGAAAAGGCCTCCCTATACACAGTAAAATGTGATATAACCTATTTGGAAGATAATTTAGCAATATCCATCAAAATTTAAAATATGCAGACCCCATGAATAATCTGTACCAACAGACACTGCTCCTGTCAAAGAGCTTAGCTTAGTGAAGAAAACAGACATTATTCAAATAGAAATGGTGTGAAAACTGCTGTATAATCTAGTGTGGAAGACATTACTTAAACTGAGATAAAAAGCTAAACTGAGGATAGGAGTCAGCTGATCAAAGGGAGGAGCAAGAATATTCCAGACAGAGGGACCAAGGCCTCCAAGCAGAAGTGAACAAGGAGTTTCAGGAAAAGAAAGTCCAGTGACTAACGGGAAAGGACAGCAAGGGTCTGCGCTGTGCTTGATCAGGCTGTAGAGTAAGAGCAAAGTATTCCAGAAGGCCTTAATAACATTTCATTTTGAGGTCAATGAGTAAGGCCTAAAAACGGAATGACAGGACTTGGGTTTTTAAAAGGTGCTTGAAGCATCACTACATTACACTCTTCCATTTCTAAGCTACCTTAAAGTTTTGTTGACTAGTTAGCGTAACTCTGAATACAAACTATACAGTCTGATTATATATTATATATGAAAATCATATTTTTCCTCTAAATTCTTTAGCATATTAAACAAAAGCAAGCACTGAAACATTGATATTTGCTATATCTTATAAATTTAAGTTTCCTTCAAGGTTCATAATTTCTATAAAGTGTGGAATGTATTTGAATAATAGCTTATTTTCTTCATATCAAATAACATAACTTTGAACTCTGTCATTATTGTGCCCAATCAATTCTTTCCCAGACAAAATATATCAAGTCAGACTAAAAGGCAATTTTCAGTGAAATAAGAAGCAATTTGTCCCTCTCCAAATCCTCTACCTTGAAAAACGACAGCAGGTAGAGGTGACCTCTGGCCATCTAGCAAAAATTCCTTTTGAATGGTTTGACATGGCTTATAAGTTTTATTAATGCTTCAAAGAAAAGTAACAGACACACAGATGTACACATTCACTCCATAGAAAACATATCATAACACAGATGTATACATTCACTCCATAGAAAACATATCATAAAACACTAAACTGGTTTTTATAAAACTCCATTTGGAAGATTTTATGGATAGATGAAAAATATAATTAGTAATTACCAGAAGAAAAAAAAAAAGGTGATTGTGATCTCTTACAAGATGTATTCAAAACCAGTGGATTTTAAAAGTTTTCTCTCAAACTAAGTTATCAGTATTCTTGTCCATGCTTTATTCTGCACACCTCCATCAGATTGATTACCCTAAACCACATACAGGATCATGTCTCTTCCCTGCATGCAAGGTGTCAATGATTCCTCACTGATTTCAAAATACACTGAACTTTTGAGTCCGACATTCAAGGCCGTGCTATCTGGCTATCTATCTTTCAAACCTTGTAAACTTTATCTTTTATCTTATGCATAAATTTGGTTTTAAAACCTCCTGATACCTGACCAGAATGCTGTCAGCTATGAAAATTCTACCCATTCTTCAAGGCCCAGGTCATATTTCACTTCCTCCATTTCACCTCTTCCTCTAAGCGAAATTTCTCTACACTAGAGCATGTATCATTTACAGTGCATTTATCATATACTGTGAGGGACTGTACAATTTTCTACTCTAGACCGTTAGTATCCTAATGGCCAGTTCCACATAGCACTTAACATGGCAGGAAGACACTAGGTATTTAAAAAATGATGAAAAAAATTTCTCCGCAAGTTTATAAATTTTCAGACATTCAGAAAAACAGGAAGGATCCCAAATTCCCTTTAAACAGATGGACAAAGAAATTCATACCTGCTAAATCATGCATTTTTTGAGGGGGCAAAAAAGGGCTAGAGTTCTCCTGCTATGTAAGTGGACTTCCTGCTATTTTCAAAAGATCCATTAAGAAAAGAGTGGTTTCTTACCATATAAAAATGGATCAAATTAACATTTTGTACACCTTAAATTTACACAATGTTTTACGTCAGATATATTCAATAAAAAGAGTGGTTTCTTATTTACATGGAAAAATTTCTCTTATCTAAAATTTTTTAAATCCCTCACACCTTAAACCTACACTAAAATAGCAAAGAAGGCATCAATTCCAATCCTTAATTTTCCACATCCTATTTCTAAGTAGAGGACTCCCATTTAACAACAACAACAACAAAATCTATCTTTATTCAGTCACTGAAGATTCCTCCTAGCAAAATCCAGATCTAAAATAAACTGCATTTAATTTATACTTGGTCAAGGAAGTTTGAATGAACTGGTGAAATCCATATTCCTTAAATCTGAAACAACTGAATTTAATACCAACTTTTGAGGGGAACATTATCAAATTTAAATGATCTTTTAATTATTTTATTATCAAATATAAATTTTCAAATTTTTTTTCAAAATTCAAAATTTCAAATATATCAAATATAAAAAATACCAAATATAAATTAACTTCCTTTGAAAATTGTAATAATACCCATCACATGCCTAAGGAAATGTAATAGAGTATTATTTATAGGAGATTTACTCCTATATTTTGAATCAATGTCTTCTGCTACAGTTCTTAACATTTTATAAATAAATGCGAGAAGTCAACATAAAAATTTTCAACCACAATTAAAGAATCAGTATTCATTCTTTTGTTCATTTATTCATTCACTTAAAAATGGCTGCTGAGTATCTAAGAATCTGGAGGACCAAAGAAGGTGTTTCGGGTTGAACTGTGTTCCCCCCAAAATCATATGTTGATGTCTCAAGCCCCAGTACCTTAGAATGTAATCTTGTCTGGGAATAGGGTTGTTGCAGATATAATTGGTTAAATTATGATAAGGTCATACTGGAATGGGGTGGGCCCATAATCTGTCTGGTGTCCTTATAAAGAGAGGAAATTTGGACACAGGCACACAGGGAGAATATCATGTGACTATGAAGACAGAGATCTATAATACAAGCCAAGGAACACCGAAGACTGTCAGTTAACTACCAGAAGATAGAAGAGAGGTATGGTACAAATTTCCCTA